AGAGTTTGGGATTTAGGGTTCAGGGATATTATAGGGTTTAGGGTAAAGGCTTGTGAGGGTTTGGGGTGCAGGGTTTCAGGCTTGCGGGGGCTCCCGCAGCAACCCCATGGCACCCCGAGCTCTGGATTCTACTGAGGCCCCTTGAGTATGTAAGCCCGCATTCCTTTTTAACATGTGAAACCCTGAAGCCCTGAACCCAAAACCCTAAATGCTAAACCCCATAGTCCGAAATGCATGAGCCCTAAACCGTCAAACCAGAAGCTCGAACACATTCATAAACCCTGAACCTTGAAGCCATAAGCCCTATAGCCCCTAAATATCTCTAGACCCCCAAAGCCGCCTCAACCCTGAACCCTGAACCCCCGGCCCCCAACCCCTAAACCCTAAATCCTAAACCCCAAGGTGGTGGCCACCCTGCAGGGCGTCGACCTTCCGGAAGTTCGCGCCGAGGCGGCGGAACTTCGCAAGAGGCGCCCCGGGCCTTTGTGAGTTCCTTTAGGGTTCAGGGTTCAGAGTTCAAGTTTAGGGTTTAGGGTTTAGGGTTTAGGGTTTAGGGTTTAGGAAGGGTTTCGGGCTCCTTTCAGGGGTTTCTGTAAAGTTGGGCTCCTTTAAGCGTTCTTTTAAGGGTTCCTTTAGGGGCCTCTTGAAGGCTTCTTTCAGGGTTCGTTTAAGGTAGCTGTCCTCGTTATATAGTCTACAGTATGCAACAGTTTAGGGTTTAGGGTAGCAGTTGGGAGGAGCTTGAGTGCTTTTCGTCTCCCTCTCTGTCGTCATCCTCATGATCACGACTGTCGTTGTCAGACATGATGAGCTTCTACGCCCTCAACAGTTGTAATTGAGGCAGAACGTGCGACGTATGAGTGAAGCCATATTGGAGTTGCAAAAAGCCCTTCTAGCAGAGAAGGCTTGCTGCTGCGGCGGCGGCGCGCCCGGTCGCTGCCAAGAGCACCGAGGAGCAGCTGAGGGAGAGGGAGGCGGAAATGACGAACGACGGCTTCAAGCTGCTCTCCAACTCTGGCGACCAGAAGCTGGGCTCGGGTTCGGGAAGACATTTGAAGCACGTTGCCATGTGCTTAGGGGGCGGTAAGCATCATTTATAGACGTCTGTATGGTGGTGTCTGAGTTTGAGCTCCTTGACATGAACCCAGGAAAGTCATGATGCAGCAGATGATGAAGATGCTGCCCAAGAAGGAGCTTGCGAAGATCTTTGGCCCACTTGCTGCCAGGGAGGTGCCTTCCTTCCACCTGGACTTTCCCAAGGAATTCGGTTGGCCAGTGGCTGTGGATGTAGCACGCGCAGCCAAGCTGCTGGAAGTCGCGTATTCCATCGCAACTACCTCGCCATGGATGATGAACCATGCCATCAAGACGGGTGACTTTGAGTTCGAGTTCGAGGACTGTCAGAAGAGGTTCCACTTCGGCGGCCTTGGGCTGAAGCGAATGGAGCTTGTCTTCCAGGAGGGGCGGCAGTTCACACCCGGTGATGTCCTCGACATGGAGTTCTGCAGCCAGGACTTTAAGATGCAGTACGACACACGGATACGCAACAGCTTTGCCAACAGCTTGAACCGCAAGGAGATTATGCAACAGGGGACCGTGCATGTCGCTGTGGGCTTCAACGACCTTGGGGCCCTTCTGACGGCCGATTTCCGTGCGAGCACGCAACATGACCATGGTCCCTTGCGGTTCATCGGCTACGAGATGAACGCCTTCAATGTGGCCAAGACCCGGATCGTCGAAAGGCTCCTGAAGGACCCCCAGGTTCCCTTGACAATACCTCTCCAAATCTGGTTCTCCTCTGCATGGACGTCCCTTGCAGAGGAGGCTTTCCGGCGCGCGGCAGGGGCCGCTATGGCCTGCGCGACGCCAGCCGACCTTGAGGTGAAGGCATACTTTAGCCACTGGATTTCAGCAGCACCGGTCTCGCTTAGCGAGGCACGCGCCCTGTGGCTGGACTACCACGAGGATGGCCGTGACTGGTCCGCCATCGCAAGCATGGCACGACAAAAGGACCGCATGGCCTTGTGCCACTACTACCTCACGGGCGATGTCCTTGGCGGTGAGATCCCAAACACTGGCAGCCTGGCTATGTGGAGTGTGCCGCAGGGGTCCCCCCCACTGCAGAAGGGGGAGAGCGCCTTCAACGCCGTCTCGCTCGAGGACAGAAGAGCATACGTAAAGTATCATATGTGTATACTGTGTATATATATATATATATGTATGTATATGTATGCATATATATATATATACATATTCAATCTGATTTATCTATGTAGAGAGAGATACAATAGTACATGGTATAGGATACGGTATATCAAGAGCATAGATTGTGGTAACTTAAGCTGACGTGCCTGGTAGACTGTAGTATTCGAGGACTTGCTGAAGGAGGTCGGCACCGAGACAGGGTCCAACATCCACGTGGCCATGGAGGCCTTGCTGCTTCGGCGTCTGCAGCGTCTTCGTGGTCTCCTGCAAAGGGGTGAGGTGCAGATTGAGCCTCGGTTCTTGTTGTAGGAGTTCTCTATACATGAACATGATAGGGGTAGATACAGATCGCAAGTATTGAGTATGGTTTGCATCTTACCCCAAGCAGTTCTACACACATGACAGTTGTTCCGTTTGTTCTAGGGAGTTCTAAATCTCTAAACAAAAGACCAAGGAGCTTCACAAGGGAATGCTGAGCTTTGACAACAAGGCCCTGCTCTCCCAAATTGCGGAGCTTCGGCCCTGGACAATGTCATGGTCCAACGTGCTAGACCACATGCACTTGCGCGACTTCCATGACATGGCTCGTGCCTGCTCCATCCACGGCGACACCATCCACTACGGCTACTCCATGAACTGGATCACAGGAGTGTGGGGGACCTGCATCATGGACTTTCCTCAAGAGATGAGAGGCGAGCTCATAGACCTTTCTGACAAAGGCCTCATAGAGGCCGGACACCTCTCCCTCGAAGGCCTGCCCCGCTCCGACATGCTCCTGGTGGTGCCCCCCCATGACACCCCGCTGAACTACACCAGCTTCGTCCTCTCCCTGCCGCACAGCTCCAAGTGGGCGGACTACTTCTGCTCCGCCGCACTTGGCACGCCGGTGCCACAGCTAGGCCAGGCTTCCCCCTTGAGCCTCTTCTGCCCTTTACATCAGGTTAGCACCTCAATTAGCCTAACCTGGAGCTATGATCCGGAGATCAGTTTCAAGGCCGCGAGCGCATGAAAAGACGCTGCGGTAGTGCCAGACAGACATGCAGAAAAGAGTGATTTGCATGGCACCGAGTCCATCACGGTAAGATGCCAACCCTGCACTCCAATCCAACATGCCTAAATTAGGGGCCTAAAGAAATACCTATACTATTTTGGGGGTTCCTTATTATAACTAAAGTACAATGGCCCCCAAAACCCTATCCTATTTATTAAGGCTCCTATATGGGAGTTTCCAAAAATTAGGGTACCTTATTTTCGGGTCCTTATAATAAGGATCCTTTTTTTTAGGGTATTATACTACGGTCCCCTATTTTCGGAAACCCCCATATTATCAGACTAAGATGCAAGCGGCTCGTAGAGTCGCTGGGTAACTCTGCTCGAAGCTCCCTCTCCTTAGCTGCGAAGGTCGGCAAACTGCCAGTTTAGGGTTTAGGGTTTAGGGTTTAGACTTGTAATGAGCCCCACCCTAAACCCTAAACCCTGAATCCTGAGTAACCCCGTTTCAAACCCTGGGCCTCTAGGAAGCGCGCCTCAACATGCCAGGAACTTTTTTGACCTCGGCGTCGACTCCGGCGCGTCTTGCTGATCAGTGCGCTTTTAGGCTTTATAAATACGGGTCTTGAATGCTCCCCAACATTTCCCTGGGGGCCCTCATATTCATACTATACTCTACCCCAAAACCATATTCTGACTCTTATAAGGCCCGCAGCCCCAAAACCAGAAGATACCGGAAATCTACAGACCCCTTTCAAGACCTCCTGAAAGAAGCCTTATTGCAACTACAAAGGTTTTCCGTTTTTGTCGTGGGAATCTGCACGCTGAGCCTGTGTGTTGGGGTAGAGTTTAGGTATGAGGGTTTAATTTAAAACCCTACACCCTAACCCTCTAAACCCCAAGCCCTAAATCCTAAACCCATTTAGGGGGCTCCGAGTTAAGGTGTAGGGTCGAGTTCAGCTCGTCGGAAACCTTTGTGTGCAACCAGACTGCCTTATTGAAAGATCTGAAATGGACCCCACTTTTAAAGCCGTGTTCTACCGTTTCGCGGGTTCAGATATACAAGATGTTATCCGGTGTTCCATCTCTTTGATCCGGTAGCAGGCCTGTGATTTGGGGCCAGTTTCGAGTTGCCCCTGGTTGTTGTTTCCTTCGGGCAGGGGGGTTAGAGGGTTACCGCTCTAGCACCCCTGTAGCACCCTCACAATCCTCAGCCTTAAACCCATCCGGAAAGGAACCCCTAAAAACCCTAAACCCTAAACCCTAAACCCAGGAGTTTTTGTGGTGTGAGGGATTGTACGGCTTCTCTCGTTGAGTGACTGTGCCGAAGGCCGAAGCTCTAAACCCTCAGCCCCCAAACCATTAGGGTTTAGGGTTTAGGGTTTAGATTCAGACAGTTTGGGGTTTAGTTTTAGTTTAAAGCCTTAAACCTCCTGCAGTTTAGTCAAAGTTTGGGGTGTAGGATGACGGCCTAAGCTTACCTGGAGATTTGAAGTACGTATAACTTAGCTTTACTTGCACTCATGCCTCGAAAATACTTGCCCTAAGTTGGCTTCCTAGGTTTCAGGTTGGTTGTACAGTTGTGACTGGCTTCTAGTCGCTAAACTAGCCTTAAGCTAAACCCCAAACCTAAACCCTAGACCCTAAGCC